TTTCAAGCCTTTGAACTTGTGGGTTAGGGAGAATAATTGGAAGAGGTGGAGGAAGTGAAGCATGACTCTCATTTCCTTGATCGTATCGTGGAACGTCATCTTCATTTGGAAAGCTTGTTCCAACGGACTAGGGAAGACCATTGTAAGATTTAGACATCTACAAAACGGGAGAAAATTCAACTTAGTTGATAAGAATCCTTGATGTAACAACCAAATGAAACATCAAGGCTAGGATCCAACACAACATTCTACAACCTAGAAGAGGGATGCCGTAATCTAGTTGCAGAATATTTGAATGTAGGTAAATGACGATTTACCAATTCCCACCATGAAAAACGAAAAAGAAATTTAAGTTTTAAATAAATTGAAACTCCTAGATCTTTTGAGATTCATTGAACTTTTCAATGGCATGTTTAATCTCGATTATGCCCTTCTATTTGTGACTGGGATGCCGAGGATCACAAACAAGGTGTGAATAACCATACGAATCACGTGGTGCACCCAATTGCTACTATCACCTAATCAATGTGCCGGTTAGCCACACACGCTCCATTGATCTATGATAAACATCGAGCCACCCTTCGCTACCAATGTCAATCCCAAATTAGTGTGCCGGTTAGCCACACACGCTCCACTAACGTTTGACAAGGGTACGAAGTGTAATTCCATGGATTAGCATACAAATTCACATTTTGCCCTAAAGTAACTAAGATTGGGAATTTGTAAAAGCATTTAGTTACTTTGTACTTCATTATACTTATAATGGAAGGTTTCGTCCTATCCTACCCGTTCGGCTAACGACCCTCCACTAGTCAAGAGTGCGGTGGGTAAGAGTGGATACCCATTCAATCGTCATTTTATAGGCAATTTCCTTAAACACCCCTTATAGACCAGCTTCGTGAATGAGGCCTACTAACGGTAAGACTGACTCTTTACTCATATATATAATATTAGACTTTAATGTTACATAATATAGTATAGGGTGTATTTTACACTTTTAAAATACTAGGTGGTTTTATTAACTTTCTCTTTTAATTAAACTTTAATTAACTTAACAAAACCATGAGGGTGTAATTTGAACTTTTCAAAATACTAGAGTTTTAGAATTTAAATATTACATAATTAAACTATTATTAAATATTACATAATTAAACTATTAATCAAAATTTTAAATTCCAAAACTTGAGGGCAAGTTTTGAAACATTTCAAAACATTAGATTTTAGAATTTAAATATTTCAACATTAAACTTTAATCAAAATTTAAATTCCAAAACTTGAGGGCAAGTTCTGAAACTTTTCAAAACATTAGGGTTTAACTATTTAAATTTCAAAAACAAAACTTTTAAGTTCAAATTTAAACTATAAAACCTAAAGGGAGTAATTTGAAACTATTCAAACTTACTAGGGATCATATAACAAATAATATAAATCAAACAATTAATTTAGTGATTATCTATATTTGACCTAATCCAATTTTAGTCACAAGATAATTACCAAATAATTTGAATAATCTATATTTATCATATAAAGAAACTATTATTCAAAAGATTTGAACTTATCTTTTGTTTTGGTAAGGATAATCATTTACATACAATAAAATTCGGATTTTATTATCAAAAAACGATTTTGGCATCAATCCTACAACAAAACAGCAAGTAAATCCCGAAATATACTCTGTCAGACTCCCGGACTCGCCGAGTCAGTCCTAAACTCGCCGAGTAGGGCCAACTCGCCGAGTCCAGATACTGACTCGCCGAGTTGAGTCGCGCAGAGGCAAAAAAATTGATTTTCAGCAGAAAAACGACAATTGCATCACATACAACAGAAACCAATCAAGGCTCTGATACCACTGATGGGTTTTAAGCATAAGAACAATCCTATGTGCTCATACAAACCCTAATGCTTGGATCTAGGTTTCTCTATTGTACATGCAATGAATCGAAGACTTACAAACCTTAGATCTATCAAATAAGAACTGAAATAAGGGTTTAGTAATTACCTTTGATTGTTATATAGCAATAACAATCAATCCTTGCTTTGATTGGCTTCAGAAAGCTTAGTGCCTCAAGTGTTGCACCTCTAATGGAGTCACAAACACCACTAAGCAACTTGGATGAAGAGGGAGGAGAGAGGAGGCACCAAAAACGGCTGGAAACCCTAAAGGATTACTTGTCCACGTTTTTGGGGCTTAAGGGTCCTTTATATACATGTAGGCTATTAGGGTTTACAACTAGGAAACCCTAATCTGGCTGCTTAGACCCTAAGCAGCCCACGGAGTCCTTTAACATATCCCTTGGACGATTTCTAATGGGCTTCCCATAGAATTCGTCCAACCTATATATTATTGGGTGATCCATAGCCCAATCGTAATTATCTTATAATTACAAATCCAGTCCCCTAAGTTTAATTAATCTCTTTTAGCCACAAAATTAATTCTTAATTAATTCTTGACTAATATTAATTAAACTATATGATTTCTCCTTTAATATATTATTCTTATAATATATTAATAAATCATAATTAAACCTTTCTCTCCTTAATTCATCCTACATATTGCTATGGTGAAGGCAACGCAAAAGGACCAATGCTCCTAATCGGGTCAAGTACATACCAAAATAGTTATGGACTTAGACACTAATCCAACAGTTTTATCTTGACTTAAAACCAACAATAACAACATACTTTATAAATTAACATATAGAACTTCCGAATATAACTCTGGAACTATATCGCACACAAAATATATATAGAATCCTAAGTATAACTCAAGATCTACATTAGTATACTACTATAACAATAACATGCTAACAACTTTACGATAATTGTATACTTTCAGATACGAAATAACTATATCCCGGTTATTATAACTATCTACGTTGATACTAATATACTATAATATAGACATAATAATAACGTATATATAATATTTAGCATGCGTTTTCCCCCGAAATATTAGAAAGTGGGGCCGTGAAACTCACCCTAGTAGCGTGATCTATAGAATCTAAACGGTCAGAGGCTCGTCGTAGTCAGGCTCGGGAAGGAAAACGGCCTTCGGAAACGAGAGAGAAAGAAAGTAGAAGTTTGTAATGAAAGAATGGGTCTCGATTGCTATTTATAGGCTGGTTTTTGGCCCTCTCACGTCGTGAGAATCAAGACTCACGTCGTGAGCCATGGCAAGAGTCATCCCTTAGTCTTCCCAGGTGTTTTCTAGCCTCGATTTGTGTCCTGCAGCGTCCTCACGTCGTGAGAAAACCTAGCTCACGTCGTCAGCTTTTGGGTTATCGTTCCGTAGACTTCTAGCTTCAAAATGTGGCGGTTTGACTCCTCACATCGTGAGTTTTTATGCTCACGTCGTGAGTTCAGTCAAATTAGGGTTTCTGACAGCGACATCTTCGGAAGGCCTAACGTTTGCATACGAACTCCATTTTTGACGTTCTTTATATCCACACGTAGGTATTTACGAGCACTACAACTCTCTTTTAGACTCCAATAGCTAATTCTAAGTCTATTTTAAATTCATCTTATTATAGAGATTTATAGTGTTCGGTTTATCATAACTTCTTCACGCGAAGTCAGATTTAGATGTTCTCTATATTTTTGGAATCGTATGGACGTATACTTTGAGTTGTATCAAAAATTATGTATGAATGTTAATACTTTAACATGAATTACATAGTAAGTTTATCAAATTACTATTTTAACAAAATCACATTACATGATTGGCATAATCACATGTGATTGTTGTTGACCTATTTTGATTGGTGTTACAGAATATAACATATATATATATATATATATATATATATATATATATCTATATATATATATATATATATATATATATATTCGTATGTGAATATATAAATATGAATATATATGTTCTATTCAATTATTCATTTATGAATATAAAATAGTTTCTTTGTAAAATGTATTTCAAATTCATTTATCTTCTACTCACTAATGAATAAAGGTAAGAAGATTGGTGTTTCTGATAAAGAGCCAACCACAATGAGAGAAACATATTTGAAGAGGACAAATTTCAAAGGTATAAAATTCATATCATATCTATTATATTCATATATGAATACCTTGAATATCCCTACTATATTTTTGTTCTATTCATATATGAATAAACTTGTATATCCCTATTATATTTTTGTAATATATGAATAAATCAACGTGGATATTCATATATGAATAACAATATATTATATATATATATATATATATATATATATATATATATATATCATATTCATATATCAATAACTTGTATATCCCTATTATATATTTGCACTACTCATATATGAATACTTCCACCTTATTTAAGTATTATATGTTTTCATTTACCAGAAAAAAAAAGAAACAAAAACAGTAAAGAAAACAAAACATTAAAGCAAAAAAAGTCCAGCAAAAACAAAAACTCCTGAAAAACGACAACTACATGATTTAGACTCTGATTTTAAAAGTAGTCGTCCATCAAAGAAACCAAAGAAAAAGGAGTCACCAATTAAGAAAGAGAAGAAAAAACCAGTGGTAAAGGAATGTTGTCGATGAAAAACAGATGTTCACCAGAGTCATTACTCTCTATAATCCTTGGGTTAAGCAAACAACAAAAAGAATGTGTAAGATCTATGGGTTTTGGAAGTCTGTTGAAAATGAAAATGACAGATATACCACTGAAGCTGGGATTTTATATTCTTCAAAAATTTGATTATGAAAGAATGGTCATAGATGTTGAAGGAAAGGAACTGAAAGTAACAACACAGTCTGTTCATGACATGTTGGGCATTCCAACTGGTGGAACAATACTGACGCAACTGGATCAATGGCCTAAATATGATACAAGTTATGATGAATGGAAGCAACGATTTCAAGAAGGAGCAATCATCTGACTGAATGCAATCAAAAAAATTATTGTTCGTACCACAAAAGCCGATTTTAATTTCAAATTGAACTTCTTAGTTCTTTTTGTCAACACATTTTGAAAGTCAACATCAATGGGAAGATGCAACATGTTCCCTTGGAGTTATATTTCAAGAAAAACAGATATCAGCAACATAGACTGGTGCAACTATGTTTTGGATTGTCTCGTTAGAACAAAGAACTCATACATACCATACTCAGATAACAACTATTTTGTTGGACCTTCGACTTTCTTGGTGGTAAGTTATTCATAATTGAATATATTATAATGTTTATATTCACTTTTTAATAATATTAATTATTCATAATTGAATAGCACATATTCATATATGAATAAGTAAAAGATAGTATTACTTGTTCACATGTAATGCTTTGCATTATATTATATATATATATATATAATATATATATATATTATATATATATTATATATATATATAATACTATATTTTGTAAAAATTCATTTATGAATATCAATTAATTATCATTTATCTGCAGTTGTTATATGCTGATAAAATCCACTCGGAAGCTCTAACGATAACACGTAAACGTCCGACAATTTGCTATTGGAGTTAAGAGAATATTAGATATCGAGAGACATCTAAACAAGAAATAGGTAGATTTGGCATTGGAGAATTAAATGAAGAATTTGTTAATGAACAAGATGAAGGAGATACAGATTTGGAAGACAGTGATTGTGATAAAGATGAAGAAGATTATGTTGAGGTAATTATTTTGAATATGTTAATCATATATAATTACACTAATTTATTATAATAATTTCTAATCATACTTCTTTTTATTACATAGGCATATGAATCAAAATTATCAAAAATGTTTAATAGTTTTGAGATGACGAAGGAAAAGCTGAATTCAAAGCTCAATGATGCAATAACAAAGTTCCCTAAAAAGGAAAGTTTTAGGATTTTCAAAGAAAATATGACAAATATAATTGTTGAAGAAAAAACTGAAAGCACAAATTTTTTTGAATTTCCAAGTAATGAAGCTGGACTTGAAGGTATCAATTTGACACCAGTAATGGGTCAAAAAACAAATGATGAAAAAGAGAATGAAGATAAAGAGGGAAATGGTGAAGAAGACAATGATAATGATGGAAGTTAACCGGAAGTAGATTATTTGCTTGATGCAAACAAAGTAGAGAATGAAGGAATAAAGAATGATGGAGATAACAATAAAAAAGAAGGTGAAACTGAAGTAAAAGAGAAAGATGGAGAGATCAATGAAAATGAGACTGGTGAAGAGAAAAATGATGATGAGACTGAAGAAACAAATAATCTTGGAGAGACAAGTCAACAAAATGAAACAAATCAAAATATGTTGGATAAAGTTGTTGAAAACATTGTGCATAATGTCCTTAGAATTGGATTTTCAAGTTTAAATAGTCAAGAATATGAAATCTGGAATGACCCTGAAATGAAAACTATTTTGGATAATATTGATATAGGTAAATTTTGACTTAATTTTATTTTATAAAAATATTAATACACAATAACACATTATTTTATTAAATTTTGACCAGGGTTACTGTTGGAACCTGAAAGTGAACCTCTAGCAATCTCTGTCCTTGTATGTTCCGAAGTAAGCCAAATCTGGAGTAAGATGGTGTTCCGAAGTCAGAAGATGTTCAGGAGTCAATCAGTATTCAGGAGTGAAATTGGTGTCCGAAACAAAGTATATGTTCCCGAGTTGTTGTTTTGTATTGATGTTGTTTGAATGTACTTTTCCATCTGTATTAGTTATCTTTGGCATTTTGTCTAATGTAACGTATAATAGGACTTAGTCTTTTTGTCAACTTAGATAATCAGAGTGTCAGAAGTAACTCTATTATCCGGTCCTACGTATGTTTATGGTTTGTACTATGTACCTTATTCTCCTATTTAAGGAACATTCAATGACAATATATAAGGACGGATTGTTTAAACAAATATAACATCATTCTAGTTTACTTCACCTTTCAAAGTTATTCTCTCAAACATTCTTCTTGTTCTTCATTTATTGTCTTTACCTTGATCATTATCTTCACTCTTCATTAATATCTTGAACACTTTGTTGAATGTATTAACTCAGACTTGACTGGTCTTGCCAGACTCGACTGGAACATTCCTTAGTAAGCAGACATTGATCTTAAGCATTAACTCAAGGTTTGAGTTTTCAAACCTTGTCCCTGCGCATCAGATCTCTTGTTCTCACAATTGGTATCAGAGCTTGAGTGGTTGTCCTTTGAATCCATAAGATCATATTGTAGTTGGTTTGAGATTACCTTGGTATTTCAACTATTTCTGTGTTCAGGATAAAAGTTCTTCTATATACCACTTTTGCTTGAAGATATCTTAACTTCAATGGTTGCTTCTAATCCTCAACAAATGTATTCAATGCAAATAGCAAATAGCGTGGGTTGCCCTACTCGTGCCCCACTGCTAGTTGTTGAAGAATATGATCATTGGAAAGTCAGAATGGAAAGGTTTTTACTGGCTAAGGAGAAAGGTGAAGCTATCTGGAGATCCGTCAAAAAAGGTCCTCATGTTCCAGTTAGAACAACAGTTATAGATGTTGCTGCTCAACTCATGGGTCAAGATGAACAACGTCCAACTCCTTTCACTGCTGAAGATATCGAGAAGCTGCATGCTGATCAAGTGGCATTTTCTGAAATGGTGTTTGGCGTTCCACCATCTCTCTTTGAACACATTAAGCTGTGTAAATCTGCCAAAGAGATTTGGGACACTCTTCAAGATTTGATCGAAGGTTCATAAAATATGAAAGACAAGTGTCTGACATCTGTTGTAAATGAGTTTGACATCTTTAGAACAACTCCTGGTGAATCAGTTGCCACAGCCTCCAACCGATATCGAATCGTAGTCAACAACATGACTGCTCATGGGATTGTACGAACTCCCTTGGAGTATAATCTTAAATTCATAAACAGCCTTGGTAAAGGATGGGGAAACATGAAGACTTGTCTTCAAAGCAATGGATCTCTAAAGAAGCTGAAGCTTTACCAACTATTTGATGAACTTCAAGGTCATGAATCAAACGTTGCTCAGACCTTAAGAGAACTCTCTGGAGGTCCTTTTGCGATCGCTAGTTCATTTGAACCCTCTATTCCAAAACCCATCCATCTCAGACCCTCTCAAAACCATTGTTCCACCTGCTTAACCCTCCTTGCCTATCCTAGCTACGCAGAACTATCCTATTGATGGTAATCTTGATCCGGAAGCCATGGACTCTGAACTCCGCTTCCAACAGGAGTTCGCACTGCTCTCCGTGAAACACAAACATCCATTTAATCCCTCTCACAAACCTTATCACAATCGTTTTCATTCTCCTCATCAAAACAATCCTCAATCATACTCTGCTCCGCAACAAGAAACCACTCCGGAAAATCCACCAGCCTAAAAACCAAACATCACTAAACCCAACTCCACCCCGGAACCTCAACCTACGTTGAAATATGATAAACCTAAAATTATGTGTCATAAGTGTGGTCATGCAAACCATTTTGCAAAAGATTGTCTGGCTGATATCCTACAAAAACCAAAAATCAAGGATTCTGCTTACTATGCCCGAAGAGCCCAGGAAATGGTTGAAAGTGAAAAAGCATTTGTCACAACTGTGTCTAGAGATGTGGAAGGATATTGGTCATCCAGAGATGATGATGATATGATTACTGGAAGAAACATGTGTTTGATGGCGAGACAAACCATTGAGTGTGATGAAGGCTATTGGTCTTCAGGGTCAGAAGATGAAGATGAAGATGATGTTGCTGAACCAAACTACTGTTACATGGCCACCAATGATCCACCAGGTCGAAGCATCGTTCAGCAGGTAACATCAATGATTACTGATAATAATTTAGATATGACCTCTGTGAATTTTATCTGACCCAGATCCAAACAAATATGAACACCATCTATAGAGCATATGAGTCAGCCATAGAAGCTAGTGAGAAGAAGGACAGTGAATTGAGTCGTCTTAGGTTATGTTTCGAGGATAAGAAATTAAAAATAGAGTCTTTAGAAAGAGAGATTGTAATGTCATAAGATGAATGTATCATTCTTAAAGACAAATGTGAAATCACTTATTCTGAAAGAAATGTTTTGATTTCTGATAACAAACGTCTCAATGCCAAAATAAATGCTTTGCATAATTCTATTGACTTGCTTGAAGCAAATGAACGAATGACCCACAATTTTCGTCATCCTTGGTCAAAAGCTCCTGGTTCGGAAGTGAGTTTCCGAAACCAGTTGTTCGTCCCTTGAAGGAGATACAAAACCTGACCTTTATGGGAGATGTTATGAACCATAAACATCCGGATACACCTGTTTCTCCCTTGTCACCCCTTCATGAGACTTCTGACCATTTTGCATCTTTGATTGCTGAGTTTAAGCCTATAGTTGTCAAGTGTCCTGATTCCACGCCGCTTCCGCCTCTGACAAACCTGGACCTGAATCGTACCACGTAATTCCACCATAGTGTTTCAAATCGCATTGATTATGCCGAAACACAATCCTCCTAACAACTGTATTGTTGAGGAAATTCTTCCAGTGACAACTGAACCTGTTACTTCTGAGTTTGCATGGGCATCCTTAGATGATAACATTGAAACCACAAGCAATGTCTCATCTGGTTCTTGTGAATCAAATTCTTTGGTAACCTCTAAAACAACCTTGGTGCCCATCAAGCCTAAGTTTGGCAATCCTTCAAGTGGTCAATCATCCAAGTCAACATCTGGCCAAAGAAAGAAACCCTTATTGAACCTAAAAGATGTCATTAGTCCTAAGCAAGAAGCCAAAAATGCCCTCAAAAAGGAAGTTAAGACAAGACAAAACTCAAGATTCCTTGAGAACTCCAAAATGAGTATATCTCAAAATTCTCATTCATCAACTCACAGTCAAAACTCCTTCACACCCACTAAGATCCTCAAAAGACCTTCTAATCCTCCCAATCTTGTAGAAAAAAAAAGAAAGTGATCAGTCCCACTCCAAAATAGTCTAGTGTAAGCACCAAATCTGTCTGAAACAACTCTCCTCAGACCGTTTCATCAGTTTACATTGCCAAAGTTGTTGTCACAATTTTTAAACCTCAACCTTCAAACCCAAATGTGCCATCAACCAAAGCTAAAAGTGTTAAGAAAACAATTTTTCCAAAATCTTCAAAACAAAACCTTTTTTGGAAAGTTAAAACACACATAGATGAGACAATAACTCCGGAAGACACAGTAGTTTCCACTACTCTGGAAGTTGAAATTCCGAAGAAAGTTGTTCCGAACTCTCATGTCATTGAGTATGACTACTGGATAGATGAAAGGACCATGACCTTCTGTTTGTTTCCTAAGGAATCTCGGAACAAACCTTCCAAACCATTTGTTGCTCAGAAGTCACCACCAAAACCCAAGACTCGTGCCATTGTCCCAAAACCTAACTCGGAGCCTAAAAACTCCACATCTCACTAATTTTTGTAGGCACTCTGTGCGTCGGAGCAAGAGACAATATGGTATATTGATAGTGCTTGCTCCATGCACATGACGGGGCAGAAGGACTTTCTGCGAGATCTCAAACTTGCACCAAATGCTGGCTATGTGACGTATGGCAACAACACCAATTCTCAGATCCGAGGTTATGACATCCTTACAAATGACAACTTCTCTATTTCGAACGTGGCTTACGTACCTGACGTGAAGCATAACCTGATAAGTGTAGCTCAACTCACTGACTCAAATCGACGTGTTGAATTTTGCAATAAACGTAGCTGCGTAATGACCGAAGACAGAAAAGAATGTTTGATCAAGTCAAATCGCAACAAGAACATTTACCCGCTCGACATCAACATGATCATTGGCAAACCTCAACTTTGCCTTCTCTCCAAAGTTGTTCCTGATGTTAGTTGGTTGTGGCACCGAAGGCTTGCTCATCTAAACTTTCGATACATGAATGATCTTGTGTCCGGTGAAATGGTAAGAGGACTACCACTCCTCAAATTCGAAAATGATCATTTGTGTGCTGCATGTGAGTGTGGAAAGCATTCGAAGAAAGGTCATCCTGTCATCATTGAAAAATCAATCTCGGAACCATTGGAACTTCTACACATTGATTTATGTGGACCCT